AAAAGTTCACGTGTTTAATATATTTTTAATAGAAAAATTGTAAACACAATTACTCAATAAATACTACATTAAAAATAATGTTTGAGAGGACTACAAAATTTTGCTATATTGCAATGAAAAATTCAACGGTAAGGTATTCTACTGAAAATTTCAACGAATATGTTGCTTTCATTGGCTATTCTAATAGAGTTCAAATTTATTTACATGAACTTTAGTGGATGTAAAGATTTCAGTTACCTGAATTTCTATTGGAATTTAATTTTTGGACCATATTTCAATCGCTGAAAAAATTGTCATTGGTATTATGCAAAAATTCAATAGAAGTTCCATTGGGAAGATAATTGCAGTGATAGATCCAAAATAATTTCATATTGGGAGCATTATTTAGTTAATAGAAAAAAAATATACCATTAAAATAACATGTCATTGCAATTTATAAATTATGCTTTACATAATCTATCACCTTTCTCATTTGTAATACATTTTAATAAATATATGCAATCACAATAAGGTAAAATATATTTAAGAAACCAAAAGTCAAGTTTTTTCTAAAATCAACATAAGAAAATCGTTATATTTGCTGTAATTTTTGTTGGAATTTTCTCATTTTCTTGTAGTAAAACTAAGACTCCAAATCTATAAAAAAATGCAATATATATAATATTGTGTGCAACTATTATTATGAAAAAAATTTATATGATAGAAAATATAACACATTCAATGTAATTGGCGTTCAATTTATGATAAGAATTAATTTTTTTCAAAGCAAACAAGATACTTTGAAAGGTTCTTAATTATTTTATTAGTATTGTAATAACTAAATAAGGAATAAGAAAGATGACAAAATTTATAACTCTCATTAAATTCAAAAGTAAAAATGCTGATAAAATTACTTAATGTACAATATTAATTGGAGCTGGCTAATGATATATATAAAACATACTTAAGATACACATATATTTTAACTAGAACTTTTAAGTACATAATATATATACATATATATATATATATATATATCTATAAATTCATATGTATATTTCTTTAAAAGTGGGTATGTTAATCTTAAAATTTTTTAGTTAAGATTTTTATTACTTTCTATCATTAAATTTTTTAATTTACAAATACTTCATATTTTTTATTTGTTACCTTTTTATATGTAATATATCACATCATTTATTTCCAATGATGTTTGAGGTGACCCATATATTGCAATAAAATAAAAATAATATAATTATTTTTATATATATAAAATAATATATATTACTAATAATAAATTAGTCTTAAAGTATATAATATAATAAATTTTATATTCAAATTAAATCAATTTCATTAAGTATAAAATAACATAAGATAAACTTGTGGTATGTTTTCCATACATAAATTGAAACAATTCATATTAAAAAAAAAAAAGTAAAAAAATAGGTGTAAACTTCTAACTGTTCCCACGTTTTGGCTAGAGCGCCCAAATCCGATATATGTTTGACACGAGTTTGTCGTAATGCTAAAACTATGGCAAATGCACCTTAGGGTACAAACGAAGCGAAACAATGTGAAGTCATAAATAAAAGGAAAGGCTAGGCCAGAGAAAGGAAATGAAATAACATTAGCTATGTGAAGTCAATTACTGCTGCCAATTGAACACTATAATGATGGTACCATATATATATTCAGTGAAAATGACTTAGTTAATTAATATTTTATCAAACATTAGAAAAAATTCTAAAACTTTTTAATCTAATAATTCGTATAAAAAGTACAATTTTATCAAATATATTAAATTACATTTAATCTTATGTAATTATATTAATTGTAGCATAACAAATAAGATAATTTGATACCATCATTATATAAAATACATACAAAAAATAACATAATAACGTATAAATGTGCTTTAGTTACTTAGCAAATAAAATATTATTTGTCTATACTTGATCATGAATTAGCAATAAGCCTAAAAAGGATTCTTCTTGGGTCGATGCCCGAGCCAAGAGGATAATAGTATACAGGTCCGCCAGGGACGAATAAGAGCTCAATAATATAATAGTAATGCAATGAGAAAAAGAAAACATGCTAAGTTTCTTAGAAAAGTATGAATACCAATATTTACAAACAAAAAGTCTTTTAAAATTAATATTTTTTTGTTGCTAGCGATTAAATATATGGACTCTGTAAGAAATTGGTTCTCATAAATAATGATCATATATTATTTATTTTCAATTTTAAATAATTAAAAAATCTAAAAATTTGTATACATGACGTATATTTTAATCATGACTCCATAATAATAAACTTTACAAATGACTAAAAGTATCGTCATATAATGGAATTCTAATTCTTCTGTTGTCAAATATTTTAACAAATGATATGCTTCTCAATATTTTCTCATTGTTTTGTTTTATCATTGCAAAAAATAGATTATATTGTTCGTCTATATTCGAGATAAATAATACTGAAAATGAAATGTATGAGTATCAAAACAATTTTGAATGTTAGAATTAAGTTGTCACTTTTTATAGAAATATTTATAATTTCATTGGTGTATTGTGTTTGAACATATGTGCAATTACTTTAGAGATACTTTCAGGCAATGTATGATGATTTCAAAAAATAATTTAGCACCTTGGGAGAAGTACATGTAACCAAGATTTTAGAAAGTCAACTTTTATTTGGAGATAAAATTCATTCTCACCTCGTGGGGCGATACATCAATGGGGTAGACACCAATATATCTAGAGATAGAGGAATGTAGTAGTTTATACAGTGATAAAAAATATCAGCAATTTTAGTGACATCGTTAGTTATTTCATAGAGATATTTATCCTTTGTTAGTAGAAGTACCTTGTTATAAAGATCATACGACCATGAAGTTTGACTATATGTTGGGTCATAATATTTCTTAAGTGTTTGAATAAAATTGGCGTTTTGCTAAATTAATTAAGAGGAATTTTGCAATAGTATTGATGTATTGGACTCCAACGAATATGAATGTTCTTATGAGAACGTTAAAACTAAAATGAAAGAAAATCTTTGTGTTTTTTTTTTTTATTAGGAATTTGTTTGTTTATATATATTTTTGTTGGGGGTTTGTAAAAAGTTAATTTTTATATGAGGACAGTATTATGTTAATTCTAAATAAAAAAAATCACATATCATTTTTTTCTTTATTTTACTTCATTTATGCAATGATATGTTTAATAAATATATTAATTTATTTTACAAACTTACTCCGCGAAAATCATTCGACACCACGTGCATCGCACGTGCACTTTACTAGTTAAATAAAAAAAACCAGTAAAATATTTGTGTATTTGTACCCGAAAACGGCCTAAACGACCACTTGAAAATCAAATAGTTATGGTGCAAATCTAGATTAAAATTGTATTATTATTTCCCCAATTTTAAAAGACATATATTTTGACTATTCAAACTTAGTCAAGCTGACTCTTACGAATGTATTATTTCCACACTTGGCAGCTTCCATGAAAATGGGACCATCATAGCTTGCTTCCCACGCTCAAAACAAGTACAAATACTCACACTAATTTGCATAAGCTCACAGCCCAACATTCTAAAGATATCATAATTCATAACTAATATTCTAAAGATTGTCTCAAAACTCCCATATTTTTTCTTTTTTCATCTTCTTCATTCAATATTATATATTCCTTTCCCCGTCTTCCTTGTGTTAATTTTCTGAACCAATTATTAATTAATCCCATGTCGATGTCGATGCCGGGAGTCGATCTGGCAGAAGCCTATTATATGAGGAAGCTAGCAAAGGAGAAGCTGAAGAAAGCAGAGAATAGTAGCAATAAGCTGAAATATTCAGGAACAGAAAAGTCGGTCGATCGCAAATGTAAGGAAGCAGAAGTTTGTGATATCGATAGTGCTTCGGCTGGTTGTTTTCCCAACATTTTCAAGAAAGTGTATCCAAACACTTATTAATCTCCATGATAAGAAGGTCTCTGTGTGTATGTGTCTTAATTTCTCTGTGTAGGATTCTATCTGTCAATGTAAAGATGGGCATATCATTGGAAGTGTTTGAGAGATTCCTTAATTGGTTCGTTGGAATACATATCACAATGTAGATAGTTGGATTGATTTTGAGGTGTATATCAGTATATGCATATATATTTCCATTGTTTGTGCTTTATTAGCTACTTCCTATTCTATATGTGCTTTAATGTTGTAACTTGTAATTTAATGCAATTTGAGTTTGCTTATATATGAAAAAAAAAAAAAAGAAGCTATAATCTCAGGGTAGTACCCGAGCTCTTGGGAGCTTGGAGTTAAGCTATACATTCATGCATGGTAGAACCCGAACTCTTGGGAGCTCTAACTTAAACTACAAAATCATGGTAGCACTCAAGCTAATGGGAGCTCGAACTTATGCACACTCATGGTAGCACCCGAGCTCTTGGGAGTCAGACTTAAGCTACAAACTTATACTAGTAGAAACCGAGCTCTTGAGAGCTCGGATTTAAGCTACACACTCATTGTAGGACTCGAGCTCTAGGGAGCTCGGACTTAAGCTACAATCTTGTAGTAGCACCCGAGCTCTTGAGTTAAGTTGGACGTACGAGCGGGTTTGAGCGGCGACCTTGTAGAATGATCATTAATCTTCGCCTTAATTCCAACAAATGAGGTCGATTGTCGACAAATAGTTTTACATTTATGTGACAGTTTAATTATTTTTTATGTACAAGCGAAGTTCAACTTACGTCTGCCATGAATATTACAAGGTTGATTGCGATTGATACAATTGATGATATTAGGGACTTCTGGCGGAGGTAATAAAGGCAATTAAAGTTTTAAATAATTTCTAAAATTTCACTATTATTCCACTAGCATTTTAAGTTTCCCACAAGCGATTCAAAGAACAAGAAATATATATCCAATAGCAAGATTGTGTTCAAATGTGAAATTTATAATTTAGAAAATGGAGATGTTTCGCAATATGAAACTGATGGGATATTTGTTAAATTATAGTAAAGTAATTTTTTTTTACTATAAAAATCTTACTATATATATATCAAATATATTAATTAATTACAAATTATTAATTGCGCGAGTCAGATTTTCTTACTCTCCTGCAAAGAGAGGATCACAACAATGGGCTGATTAATAATTGCACGAGTCAGATTTTTAATATCTATTACATATATTATATGATTACATGACTAATTACCTTATGTAATATAGGACGCACCTATAGAAGATGAGTTCACAACTCTACTGATCATTGTCCTAGATTCCTCTTCCTTGGTTTTTAATTTGTGACACCACTGTTAGGTGTTTCTCCTAAATTTCATAGTATGGTGGTTCGGACATACTATGTGGCCTATGAGCTTTATCTTTGAATATCCCTTTTGAGGAATACAACATATCGGTTTGAAAAAAAAAAGGAAAGTTGAAAAAAATTATCTGGCAAGATTAAAAAGAAGAGAAATGCTATAATCTCATTACGAAGGATTTATATAACCGTTAGATCATCATGTAATCGTCGTGAATAGTTAATCTAATGATTACCAACTCCGACAGAATAGTTCCGTAACGAGACCCTAAAAAGTAATGGTAGCAACTGAATAAAGCTAAGCCCACATATTGTGATTTAGGTGACCGCGCACTACTGCGCGTCTGTGACACCGTAGAGCACTCCGCGTGCACCGCACCCACCTTAAAATCTTCGGTGCAGATCTAAAGCACGAGTATCCGGGAAGCGAGGGAGGTCCTTTCCCGTAATTTCAAATCAACCTCCATCTCTACCTTCACGCACTCGCTCACCTTCTCCACGCCGGCCGACGATGCGAATATTGTACGCTCTCGGAGTTTTCTCAGTCGTTTTCTCCCTACTCAGTGCCGGCAGGTCAATGCCCGAAGACGCGGTGGCGAATGGTACGGTTGCGACCAATACGACCAGGCCGAAGGAAGATAGTTTGGCTGATATGATCGATCACGCATTGGAGAAAGAGTTCAACGAGACGGATGAGATCTCTGACGGTTAGTTTGGATTTCCGGTTTCTGTAATTTCCTCTCTGCTCTGCGCTACAGTGTTGTTCATTTGTGCCCCCTCCAAAATTCTTGTTCAAGGAAAATTACACACTTTCCACTATTTGTGTTCCTTTTTGTTTAATTTTCCAGAGCGACAGTTGCATTCTTGTAGAAGAATTTAGGCACTACATGTTGCTTAGCTCGATGATGGCTAATAATATTGTTTTGTCTTTCCTTCTGAAGCATAGCTGATTTTGTCGTTCAGTTTCCGGTTAATAGACTGTAGGACATAATGTTTTGGTTATTTGAAGTGATTGTGGCAAGTTATATGTGTGTGGGGAGATGATACCAATGCAAGTGATCATGTCTTTTCATTAGTTTATGTAAGACACGGTATGTTCCAAATATCGAGTTGACATTTATGGAGAAAATATCAAATGGTGCATACAATGTTGACAAGAATGATATTAACGTGATGGGAGCGGGTTACATAATTGGTCTGTGAAGGAGTTTGGTCGATTGTATAGTCCTTATTCAATAAGTGGGTTTTTGGTGTAACTAAGGGAACCAGAGTAAGCCTATGCTAGAATCTGGCATCTCAAGTTGCAAAGATATTGTTGACTTGAGTCTAAATTCTAACCATTCTCTTCTCTTTTTTTAAACTTGGCAGCCACAGATCATGGAAGTTTCAACAACAGCGTGGCAGAACAACAGGTTTGTCTAAAGTGCTTATAGTTGAAGTTTGGGTTTGGTTTAGCTCTATGACAAAGGTGGATGCCCGGGATTTTAGGTTAACTCTAAAATGTGAATCATTGATGTTTTGAGTTACGTCATCCTCATTCATAGCTGTGGATACTTGGAAATTGCTTGTGGTGATCCTCTTCTTTCTACTTGTCCACTTTGAAGGCTTTATCTATGTTCTATTAAGTGTGGTAAAGTGAAAACCAAATACTTCCACTCCCCCTCTTGTCAATCTTGAATTATAATAGGCCAGTTTCCTTGATAGAAATAGTTACATATTAAATGACCAAATACCTTTTGTAACACACTTGGCTTCGATAGTTATTGAACTCTTTTTGCATTTATTACCAAAGTAACCTTGAAAAAAACATGAGCAAAAGGTTGATATTTTTTGGTAGTAATTGGTGTAGTGGAGTGGAGGGAATACGAGCAAAGAAACTGGAAGAGACAAGGTTAGAGCTCTCGTGAACACCATTTCAAAGGATGAGCAGTAATACTTGAGCTATAACTCTAGTGGCTCCAACAACAGTTAATTTAATTCGTGCGACAAGCCTATCTTAGTGGGACTGGGGTAAATTATCACTTGAGCAGGCAAAAGTCTCAGCACGATTGCTAGTTGCACTTGAAGGTCAAATAGAGGTTGACCACCACTTAAGCTGACAAATGAATTGATGTTGGCACTCTTGATTTTTGCTCTTATGATGGTAGTGATGTTTTGTCATTTGTATTACACTATTATGTAATCCTGAGCTGTCTTTTTCACTGGAATCTTGTCTTATCTTTTCTTCTGATTGTGTGAGACATGGCATTTTTGATGAAATTAATGTTTAAGTGCACATATTTTAATACTTGAGAGAGCACAGACCACGGGTTTGAGTTGTAAGGTAGTGATTCAATCTTCTGACTGAGAGGATTACATTATAATGAGAGTTTTGATAAACAATTTTTCATCGACAATTTGTGCAATAGATATCTTTTGTTTTCTTCAGAAATAAAAAAATTACAGAGAACTGTCTATTGACTTATTACCATGTCATTGTTGCATTGCACTTAAGAGAGATGATTTAAAAATAAGAGCACTATCTAATGTAGTCTGCCTTTTCTTCCTTAATTGTTTGTGAGCATGTTATGGTTAGGTGAATGTGAGATGATATAAAATTCCGAAAAATCTTCTCAGAATCATATCTTTCACCCTGTCTAATTTTGTTTTTTTTTTCTTTGGTGTATAATGTTGCTTTTGAATCATTTGAAAAATTTACAGGCAGTTCTTGAAACTGTTGCTAGAGTTAAGCCCAAGAAGAATGAGACGAAAGATGAGAAGTACGCTTCCTCAATCTGAATCCATTATATGGGATAGCTGTCTGTTTCATTGTACTGATTCCTCTGGAATTGATTATCTTTGTATAATAAAATTTCCTACATGTTTACTGTTGATATCTATCTCACTTTCATCAGGTCATTCCAGTTTCATGATGTTTTTAATCTTGATAATGAGAATCGGCCAGAGGATACGCCAACCTTGATAGATAAGAAGGTATCTAATACTTGAGCCACCTGGAAGTTTAGTTACAATATTCTCTTATTTGTATGATGAGTTAAAAATGCACAATAATTACACACAACAATGTAAGTTTACTTTTTCAGAAATGCGTAGAAATTGATTCTATTGTCATAAACTATGTTCAGGACAATGTCTTCATCATGTCCAATCCGAAGTCAAAATTTCCTGTTTTACAGCTGGACTTAAGGTTAGAGTTCTTTGTTTCCCCATCAGGCAATCACATTACATACTTTATTTTATTTAGTATTTTTTAAGAATCCCGACATTTTTGTTTATTGTTTGCAGATTCATATCTGATCTAGTTATTGTAATTGTCTTTGCAACCTGTGGTGGCATCGCTTTCGCTTGTGCTGGACAACCGGTCAGATTCTAGGATTTCTTATTTTGGCATTTCAATTCGCGTTTTCAATGATTTTCTGTCTCTAGCTGATCAAGGAATGTAGTGCATGCTTTATGAAACTTGGGATAACTGTTGATCCATGAAGATTAACGGTGAGCATACGTGGTTTCAACTCTGCAGGTTATAACTGGATATTTACTGGCAGGATCTCTGATTGGGCCTGGGGGTTTTAGCTTTGTCAGTGAAATGGTGCAAGTATGTTGCTGGTGGTCTTCATTTTCATTTGAACTGACTCTTTTGTTGGCACCTTAATTTAATCGCCTCTCTCTTCCCGAGGGTATGTGGCATTTGAATTCTGACGTGACATTTGTACCCAGGTTGAAACAGTGGCACAATTTGGAGTTATTTTTCTCCTTTTTGCACTGGGTTTGGAATTCTCTGCAGTGAAGGTTGACCTTTTCTGTTTATCTAAATTACTTTTTTTTTT